GGCGGCTGCAGCCTGGGAGCCCGGGCTGGGGCCCTGACTGCCTTCCCCCCGCCAGGCCAACCCGCCCGGTCTTCTGGCCCTGCTGGATGAGGAGTGCTGGTTCCCCAAGGCCACCGACAAATCGTTCGTGGAGAAGGTGGCCCAGGAGCAGGGCGGCCACCCCAAGTTCCAGCGCCCCAGGCAACTGCGGGACCAGGCTGACTTCAGCGTCCTGCACTACGCGGGCAAGGTGGGCGGGGCCAACGGGAGGGCGGGGCCGGGAGGGGAGGGGCCAGGCTGGGCATTTTTGAGGTGGCGCTCACGCACCGGGCCGTGGCGATCCCGCCGCTAAAGGCTGGGTACTGGGGAGTTGTGACCCCGGATGACAACCTTCTTCAACCCGGCTTCGCTCAGGTCGACTACAAGGCCAACGAGTGGCTGATGAAGAACATGGACCCGCTGAATGACAACGTGGCAGCCCTGCTCCACCAGAGCACAGACCGGATGACCGCCGAGATCTGGAAGGACGGTGAGGACCCTCGCGGCCTGTCCCAGGCCTGTGTGCCGCCCCCGGGCAGTCGCGCAGATGGTACTTCCGGTTAGCGACGGGCTGACCGGAGGATGGGCTGGTCCGCTCAGGGATAAAGATCCCCCGGCCCCGTCCGCCTGCGGTCCGCCACTGTCTTAGCAACGTCGGCCATGCAGTCAGACCAAGCTCAGCAGTCTCTCCGGATCTGCCGGGTCGGTTCCAGGGCCCTCCTCCAACGCCAACGGTGCTTCGTGCAAGAGACACTCAAGTACTATAAAGTGCCGTACAGCCAGGTGTGGTAGCGCGCACGCCTGTGATCCTCCTAGGAGGCTGAGGCAGGAGGATTGAAGCTTTGAGCCCAGCCCTAGTGACTTGGCACCACCCTGTTTTAAAATTTAAAAAATAGAAGGAAGGGCTGGGGATGTAGCTCAGTGCAAAGGCCCTGGGTTCATTGCCCTGTACTGGGGGGAAGGCATAGCGTTTATGTAGAACTTGCTCTCGCTCTCCCTGTTTTAAACCATCTCTGGATTACTTACAATGCTCAGTACAATGTAAATGCTACGTAAATAGCTGTTGCACTGCATCGTGTAGAAAATGACAAGAGAAGGCTGCAGGTTCAGTTCAGGTGCAAATCCTTTTTCCGAGTATTTTCAATCTGCGGTTGGTTGGACCCAGGGATGCAGACCCTGTGGGTGCAGAGAGCAGCTGGATGCGGAAAGAGAAACTTCCTCTTTGTCCATCTGCATGGAGGTGGATGGGGGCACACTCGTAGGCACAGGGCAGGCTGACAGCGTGGGAGGGGTTTCCTGGTCTACTAGGGAGTTTGGCCGGCAGCCTGCTGGGAGGCGCAGGCCCGGCCGCCAGGTCTCTAAACATCTCTCAGCCCTGTCTGTCCCCACCCCCACCCTCGGGGCAGTTTGAGAAATGTTTTATAAAACAACCAGCATCTTGGTTTTGGCTGGGTCCAGTTTTCCAGCATTTGTCAGTTTGCCGTCACCTTGTATCAACCTGCATAGCAGTAGAAGTACCAGCCCATGCCATTAGGCAGGAAAACAGAACAGCTCCCTGAACACAGAAGCCTATGGGAAACCTTGATCTCCTGAGCTGATGCCAGAGAGAAACTCGAGTTGTTTACCCCAGAGAGGTTAGAGAACAGCATTTGGTGTCCAGTCCAGAACCGGATTTTGCTATGAAAATCATCTTGGAAAATTTACCCATGTTTTAAAAATATTGCAGCCCAGTCACAGACCGATTGCGGGTGGCAGGCCAGGAGAAAAGACAAATGAGATGACCTCTCCTCCGAGAGACAGAAAAAAACAAATCCAGGATGTTCAGTTAGTTCTTGAGCTTCCCGGCAGGCCAGAGCAAAAAGGGGTACCTGATGCAGCCGACACAGACTCGCCCCTAGGGAGGGAGCTTCTTCTTCTCTCGCACTCACACTCACAGGGGACCGTCATCCTTGTGGCCATCCTGATGCTCTGGGTAGACACAAAGGCGAGCGGGACGTGGGAAATTCGTGCGCAGTGTCCAGCCCTTCTGCCGCCTCCCCGTGCTGTACCTGATGCAGCCGACACAGACTCGCCCCTAGGGAGGGAGCTTCTTCTTCTCTCGCACTCACACTCACAGGGGACCGTCATCCTTGTGGCCATCCTGATGCTCTGGGTAGACACAAAGGCGAGCGGGACGTGGGAAATTCGTGCGCAGTGTCCAGCCCTTCTGCCGCCTTGCCCCGTGCTGTTGTCTAACGGCCCTCTCCTCTTTCTCTCCCTCCACCTTCCCGCGCATCTCTTCATGCATCTCCCTGCCATCTCCCCCGCCATGCCCCATCTGCCCTCCCTCCCCAGAGCACGGGGACCTCCCACAGGCCTCTTTCCTGGGCTCCTTCCCTCTGCTGTCCCCCGGATCTGCAGGGAGGTGCTGTTCCGCCTCTTCTCCACCAGGGGGTGGGTGTCTCTGCGGCAACGGTGAGGCCTGTGGGCGAGGAGGGTGGAGCGTGGGCTGGGAGCCCAAGTCGCGCCTCTGTCCCCTCTCCTGTCCCTGCGGGGAACTCTCGCTCTTCCTCTGCCTCCTGAGCAGCTCTGAGTCTCTAGCAGTATCCACCAGCATTTCTTGAGCACTTATTATGTGCTGTTCACTGCGGGAAGCCCTCTTATCACTGACACCCCGAATCCTCCTCACCCAGTGGGGCAGCTGTTAGGACTCTCACCCCCAGACATTGAGAAAACTGAAGCACAGAGATGGTGCTGAATAACTTGCCTGGGCTCAAGCAGTAAGTAGCAGAGCCGGCATTTGAACTCAGAACTTTGCCCCTTCCCTGCACTCTGAGAACTGATTTAATGATTATTATTATTTGGAAAATATCCCAAAGCATGGGTGTGGAGAAGACAGCTGAGCCTAGGGAGGAGAAAGTCAGATTTGTGAGCCGCTGCCACACACTGGGCCCTGCCCTGAAGTGGAATTAACCAGTTGGCCCTGGCGTGGGCTGAGCTGTGCCGGATGTGAGGCTCCTGAGCACTGGCAGACCTGGTGGCACAGAGCTGGTGCCAGAGCAGGAGTCCCCGGGCCTTTCTCACGAGCGGAAGTGGCAGCAGAGCCCGGAGTGACCGTGAAATCAGGCCCGGCCACACTCATTTTCCTGTGGCGCCGTCTGGGTTCCAGCCATGCTGCTTGTGAGCACCGTCCCCTCCCGCCTCCATTTCCTCAGTACCCTGAGTGAACAGTGGCTGTCCTTGTCGCTGTCACCATTGGTCGGGAGAGCAGAGCTGGCTTCTGAGGAGGACTCGGGAGGGTCCACCCGGCCCGACCCTGGCGCCCGGCGGTGCCCACCCAGCCGCAGCCTACCTGCTGTCCGAAGGGGTCACCGCACCCCCTCCAGGCCGTGTGACGCATGCCCGGTGGGAAGTCTGTAGAGTGAGACCCTCGGCCTCGGCCGCCGGGCTCCACCCCAACCTCTGACCCCACATCTGTGGCCTCCGCAGTGGAGAGCATCGTGGGGCTGGAGCAGGTGAGCAGCCTCGGGGATGGCCCGCTGGGTGGCCGCCCGCGCCGCGGGATGTTCCGGACGGTGGGGCAGCTCTACAAGGAGTCCCTGAGCCGCCTGATGGCCACACTCAGCAACACCAACCCCAGCTTCGTCCGCTGCATCGTCCCCAACCACGAGAAGCGGGTGAGTGACCCGGGAGGACAGGGTGAAGGTGGGGGACCTGGCCAAACCCCCTGAGCAAGCTGCTTCCATCCCTGGGAAATTTGTCCATTTGTGGAACTTAAATCTACTAAGTACCTGGGAGCACAGGATCTCAGCCAAGCCCCCAGAAGGCATGTCTGGGGGATTTGTAGGGGTCATAAGTGTCCCAGACGGTCTGACCTGACAAGCAAAGTCCAGGGGGGCTCCCCGGACAAGGAGATGCCTGAGCATCAAAGGATACGTGGTTTCCTACACAGAGAATGGCTTGTGCAAAGGCCCAGTGGCCAGTCAGAGCCCAGAGAGCACAAAGAAGGGAAAGGCTGGGGTACTGCATGCAATTGGCTTTGCAGAACTCAGAGAGACTTTCTCTTTGGGGAAAGTAGAGAGCTGGCCTTTCAGAAGAGGAATGTGGGGCAAAAGTCTGACCACACGGTTAGGTGTCAGCGGCTTGCACGTCCTCAGGAAGCTTGCTGTGGTTTCCAGGTTAAATTCACAAACGCAGTAAGGGCTCAGCAGCTCTAGGCTCCAGTTAGGCCTGTGGCAGTGGCGCCCCCGCGTGGCCGCTGCCAACCCGAGCTCCCCTCGCCCCGCAGGCCGGGAAGCTGGAGCCTCGGCTGGTGCTGGACCAGCTGCGCTGCAACGGTGTCCTCGAGGGCATCCGCATCTGCCGCCAGGGCTTCCCCAACCGCATCCTCTTCCAGGAGTTCCGGCAGCGGTGAGCGGGGCCTCCTTTCCCCTGGAATTGGGAGGACGCTGAGGGGCCCGGCACGTTGCTTTTTAGGCCCCCGGTCCCCAAACCGTGAATGGGCTGCCACTTTAGTGTTTGAAAATGAAATAGAAAAGAACAGAAGCTATCAAAACCGAACAAGCAAGTGAAATGGCAAATGTAACAAAAAGAGGCTTCCCACAAGCCATATGGCACCAGAAAATGAAGCCAGGCTCCGTGGCCTGGAATTTCAGCAGCCTGGGAGGCTGAGGCAAGAGGATCGCAAGTTGGAACCCAGGCTGGGCAATTTAGCGATTTAAAAAAATAAAAAGAGCTGGAAATGTAGCTCAGTGTGAAGGCCCAGGGTTCGATCCCCAGCAAAAGGAAGGAAGAAGGAGGGAAGGGAGGTTAAAAAGAGAAAAGTGGAAGGAAAAGCAACACAAATATAACTGAATATTTTCTATTAGCCACGTTTCAACAAACTGTCTTAACCACTGCATCCAACTGGGTCAGGATAAAAAATTATCAAAGGGGCCAGACATGGTGGTGCACACCTGTCATCCCAGCCCTCGGGAGGCTGAGGCAGGAGAATTTCCATGAGTCCAAGGCCAGCCTGGGCTACACAGGGAGACCTTGTCTAAAAAAAAAGGCAAAGGACTACTGAGCATTGTTTTCCTATCAAGATTTGGAACTCTGTGATTGCCTTTCCCTGTAACCCTGGCCACCCACCTTCTCGCGCCACAGGTACGAGATCCTGACACCCAACGCCATCCCCAAGGGCTTCATGGACGGGAAGCAGGCCTGCGAGAAGATGGTGAGCGCGCACGC